GGAAGGGGGATGGAAATACTGTATACCCATGTTGTGGTAACTGTTTCAGATGTTCCTAAAATTAGCCCTTTGCTAACTTTTCAGCAATAAATTCCCCTTTCATTCCCTAATTATAATATTCCACTTTTGAAAATGTCATTGAATTTCTTTTAAGAATATTATAGAACTCTCGGTGGAAAATAACACCACAAGTAATGAGGCTATATGGCTATCATTATCTAAAAAATGCAAGATTTATGTAAGCAATAGCAGTAGCCCTTGGCAGTTTGCTATTATATGAATCTGACACAATTTAACTTAGTTGCTCCAGCACAGCAGTTATGAAAACTGTAAAAGGCTATGCAATACAAATTAAGGTAATTGAGAGAGAACTTTAATTGTGACTAGATAACCCATGATTCATTGAGTCATTATTTCAAAGATGTTTCCTTACCTAAGCAGGCAAACAGATGACCTCAGGTGGACAAATACTGCAATCAAAATGACTTCTTGTTGGTTTCCCTATTGAGTTTCTTCGTGGGGAGCTGGCAGTGAACATCAGAAATCTTCTTTCCCTTCTCCCCTCTCATCCCTCTTCCTGCCTTCCTTCTTTCCTCCCTTCTTTCCTCCCTCCCTCCCTCCCTTCCTTCCCTCTCTCCCTCCCTCATTTTTCCTTCTTTCCTTCCTTGTGTTGCTTCCCTCTCTCCCTCCCTGTTCCCTTCCCTTCCCATAGACAGGTTAGTTGCAAGGCAACACACAAGTGGCCAGTGTAGTGCAAGTGGATGTTGCACCATTTCTCTATTGACTTTCTCCCTACAAACTTCCCACAAGCAAAGACTTTGCTAGTTGGAAGGTGGCCAGGAACATCAGTAATCATATCAATTCCTTCTGGGTTCCCCATTGACTTGTGGAAGCTGTCACAGAATGTTAAAAATGAGAAACAGGTAACTATGGCAATGTGGTGGTGGCACTGAACATCAGCAGCCTAACAGCACTGAAAATGGCAAAAAAAAATATTCCCAAATTTCATTATTTCAGATATAATGGGTACCAGCATTCTGTAAATTAATCCATTTGGGATACCTTTGTTGATAAACTTTTGCCCTGTAATGCAGCATTTCACACAAATGAAGATTATAAAGTATCAAACAGACACAAGAGTTTTAGTAGTATGTAAATTATGGGGTCAAGATGTTTTCCTAAACATCCCTTAATAATTGTCTGTCGGACAATTTTACAATTAAATTTCCTACCTGAATGAAGCAGATGAGTAGAATTTAGATTTTTTCATTTCTTTATTAATTCCCTATTCCCTACCAGATTATTTTTGCACTTTCAATTCCAGTCACAGCCTGTTCTTTTTTGGTAAGGATGTCTAGACTTTATCTTATTTCTTCAACTCAGAATCTTTTACAGCATTCTGAGTTACAGTACATAACTGACCTGTTTTTTTTAAAGAAATTAAAAGGCAAACAACAAATCCACCTGTCTGGGCTCAATTCCATATTCATCTTTTGTTTTATACATTTCTTCTTGAAATCAGCTTAATGAGGCCAATTAATCTTTTGTTTTAAGGTTCCTAGCTAAAACAACAAAGAGATGGTACAGTATCATTATGCAGCATTATTAAGTGAAGAATTTACAGCATCAAACTCCCAGAGGAACAACTCAATCAGGGAAGAATATATAAATAGATACTCTAAGCCTTAATAAGTCTTACCAAATTATATGGGTTATCCATTTTTTTCTTGGTTTTACTCCTTATTGAAAGGATCAAAGTTCCAGTGAAAGCTGCTGTAGCATTGTTTATGTCTTCAAATTAGTTCCCAGCAGCTCCTACTTCTTAGAATTCTGTAATAAATGAGCAACTTTTTAATCCATAATTCTACTGGAATGCAAATTAAAGCATAACTCTATTGGAATTGGTGACTGCAATTAACTAGTGTTATTTTTAAAAAAATATAAACATGCAGAAGAAAGAAAAGGAATGGGGCGTTTCCTCCATCCACATAGGCAAGTGGTCAAATGATGATTAACTGTAGAAGAAATAACATATGATGTAGGCTTTCATGACTGGTCTCTATGAAGCATTCCTTGGGAGGAATGGTCATAATCTAGTTTTTGTGTGTGTGTGTTTCACCAGTAGCTGTGGCTGGCATCTGCAGAGGCAGAGTGACCTGCTTTGTTATGTACCTCACAAGCAACTGAACAGGGACTGGCAACTATATGTACTGTACTGTATGTCGTCCTGGCAAGCTGATTCCTAACTGGTCCATGCCACAGGAATTCCATGCCAGGAATCAGTTTCTTTGGACTTCCTTGGCACAGACCAGTCTGAGATCATCTTGCCAGGTTCAAATGCAAGAGCCCAGGCCACCCAGTTCAATTGCCTGTGAGATGCCAAGAGGTACATCACAAAGCAGCTCGCTTGCTTTGTAGAGCAAGTGATTTGTTTACAGTAGATTTTGCTTGTGCATGCCTGAGAGTATATGTATGCACATACTTCGCAAATTCTCTCATAGGTCACTTAATGGTTGTATAAATGATATCATTAACTTACTATTAATGATAGCATGTTATTTATCATTAATATTATAAATATGTACATGCACACACCACAAATACATATGTATATGTCCTGAAAAACAATTAAAAAGAAGTATGGCAAAATTATATGTGTATCTTCAAACAATGCAGTAAACACTCAGGAATATTTCTCAGATATAACTAATATGAACAGCCTACAGTATATGTTATACTTTCCCTCATTGACACATTTTTTTTTCACTCATCAAATCCTAGATTCTAGTCCCGTTCACAGGAAATGAATTATTCAGCTATCCCTTCAGAGTCATTTGATGCATTTTGTGCACAGCCATATACAACACAGCTGGCTGGACTGCTATTTATGGCTTACCTTTACAGTTCTCCCGAACAGGAAGAGACCATACCAGCTGGTACGAAGAAGTCTGGGAGGCCATCATTTCTTGCACTATTCCCCTCCCCCTCCTTTATTTCCAAAAACACTGAAAAAGAAAACTACAGCACACAATAAAGGACTGCAGATTTAAGAGAACTGTAGCCACCTGGTTGGTATCTGCCTTACCTTCTGAGGGATTGGGGTAGAATAGAACAATGACAGGTGCAATGTTCCTATAGCATCCCCATTTCCATAGAGTGGCTCTAGTATATTATTTAAATCTTGGGGGAAAGGAAGTCATTGAAAATTCCAAGCAGCAATTCAGATGATGTCGTTGACCAGGGAGATTTAATTTAACAACAACAACATATCCCTGAGTGTCTTTTGGGTGCAATTTAGCTTCTGATCTTGGCTTCCATTTGTTAACATATCATTAAGTGCAACAGCCTTAGAAAATTGGAATTTAGTAATTGTAAAAATGCAGCAAATCATTAGTTTACTATTAAAGACCCCCAAAAGTTAATGTGGTATAAATTAGTTAAATTATTTTTTTTTAACGTAAAGGTAAAGGTTTTCCACTCAGTCATGTCCAACTCTAAGGCATGGTGCTTATCTTGGTTTCTTGGATGAGAAAGCCAGCGTTGTCCAAAGACAATTTCCGTGGTCATATGGCCAACATGGCTATACACCAAAGGCACATGGAACATTGTTACCTTCCCACAGAAGGGTACCTATTAATCTACTTGCATTTGCATGCTTTCAAACTGCTAGGTGGCAGGAGCTGAGGCAAGTAACAGGAGCTCACCCTGTTGCGCAGATCTCGGGTCTTGAACCCTGGCTGTCAGTTCTCCAGTTGACAAACTCAGTGTCTTTAACCGCTGAGCCATCATGCCCCCTTAAAATTTACTCAAAAGCATGACATAAACCTGTATCCACCCACTGCACTTTGAATATCAGGAAAGAAGTGGGGAGGGGATTTTATGCCAAAGATGGCAAAATAATGTGTTTATTATTAGGAATGATTTGTTGTTGTTAATTGCGAAGTCGTGTCCGACCCATCGCAACCCCATGGACAACGTTCCTCCAGGTCTTCCTGTCCTCTACCATCTTCTGGAATCCATTTAAGTTCACGCCTACTGCTTCAGTGACTACTACACACTAATTAGGAGAGGGGGACACCATTTGCTACTTGCCTCAAGCAGAGAGAATGCCCTGCTGAGAGAATCCATTGAAATGCAAATTCAGCTTTTGAAGTATATTTTTTTTGTTGGAATTCTTCCGGGAAGAGGAATAATTCAATTCACCCACCATTCCACTTAGTTTCAAGGCTATTCTAGCTAGGTCAGCAGTAAAGAAGGAGAGCACTGAACCATGCTTCCTATTTGTGTACCAGAAATGACCAAATTAATGCAATTTAACATCACATCTAATCGGACCTTGTTTATCAGTAATTTGCATTCTAATTAGCTCTTATTGGTTCTTGTGTTTAGCCCTTATTCTATCCCTCACCCTCCTTTTTTTTTTTTTTGGTCTGTTGTTTATCTTGTCTCTGCCTGTAGACTGTAAATATATTTTGGGGAAAAATTGTCCTCTTTTTCTTGGCCATAGTACATATCCCTGTATATATTAACAAAAAGAAATTAAAAATAGAGGTAGACATCTGATTGTACAAGATACAAATTGCTAGGTAAATAATATCATAGTTTTACAGAGCTTTCCAAGGTTATCAGACAGCTGACAATACTGGGCCCAACACAATTGGGGCTTGTGTTTTTAAAGTGTTGAATGAAATTCTCATTATATTTGATAATATTGATCAGATACTAAGTAGTGAAAAATAAAATTAATCTTTTGTGCATGGCCAGAAATAGAAGCTGAAGAAATGATTCCACAAGCCCATCATTATCATTGCTCAGTGAACTATTTGCCATTTTGACTAGCCCATTTCAACAATATTTATTTAATAAAAAAACAATTATGAACAGTATTAACAAATAAGACTTGTGCTTAATCACATGAATGGATTCAATTCATGATATGTGCGTGTTTAGGATGTTGAAACAGATTTTTTTTTCTAGGTCTGAGATCAGGTTACTGGACATGAGAGGATCCATTTCTACCTTGTTATTTACATGTGAAGTTGGTGCCACATAGCAATCTGCCTCCTGGGGTTCCTCAGCATCTCCTCCCAGTGGTTCCTCTCGGTTCCCACAGCATGCAGACCAAGGCTACACTTGCCCAGTAAGCGGTTCTGCCCATCAGTATCCTGGCTTAGCATCTCCAGCTCTACACTTGAAGCACAGAGCAGATCATGGGGCACCTCAAACATGATCATCTCATTCCATACTGGGTTGATCTTGTGTTTTGCATGCTTTGTCTGCTTCTTTTTCAGTTTCAAGGCCTGGTGCTTCAGTGTCACTTTGACAGATATATCTGCAGGGACAAGGATAAGATTTGGTCATATGAAAGCAGTCTTGAGGTGTCAGTATTTTCTATCTTCCTCCTGACGACTAATAACTTGAGAAATTCTTGAAAATGTCAACTATTACCAAGGACCAAACTATGTATGAGACATGGGAAGAGGACTAAGAAGCTAATGAGAAGAGAGAGCTGAATTTAGCTTCTTCCCACATCGAATGTCCTCACACGTGGTAAACTCACAGGCCACAGATAGCTTCCACAGAGTTGCATGTGCTTAGCTATACATTGTGAAAATGGATAGCATAGTTTCCTGTTACAATTTGACAATATCATTTTATAGCCTGATGTGCTTTCTTTTTGAGGCACTTCTTATATGAAATCTCTTTTCATTGTTGTTTATTATTTATCATATTTATCACCGTCCCCCTCAAAAAAATTGGGCCAACCTAAATTCTCCAAAATTGAAGCCGAGGAAGAAAAAAAATAAATGAATCTTGGATTTTTGTTTTTTAACCACTTAGCAATCCATAAAAGGGCCAGTCCCCTAATCCCACATCTACTAAGTTTACTCTAGAGCAGGGGTTCCCAACCGGGGATGTGAGACGATATTCCAGAAGGTGCGAAAACTTGGGTATAGAAGTTTCAAAATTATAGTGTATATGCATAATCCATTGCCGTTATTTCAAACTTTTGTAAGGGGTGCAAGAATATATCAGAAGCATCCTAGGGGTGCGGGGTATAGAAAAGGTTGGGAATCGTTGCTCTAGAGTTTCTTATATAGAACTTAATCAAATGTTTGCTGAAAATGTATCATATCATATCATAGAATCATATCTACTGATACTCTCAAAATCCAGAATGTTGGTAAGGCCGGATTTATCTTTGTTGAATGCTAGTTGATTTTCCTTCCTCAAAGCTTGCTATTTTTTAATTATTGATTCTACCTATTTTACTTTTGACACCTTTAAGAATTCTTGAATGGACCCCATCAGAGAGTTTACATATAAATTCTATGTAAGCTTTGAATTATTTACATAACACCAGGAAAAAAATACATTAAATACATACATGCAATCCACACATATTCACATATCCACACATAATCTTTTATCATACACCACAGTTTTTATTTCTAAAAACCCTGCCCATTCAGCATCTGTTCCATTCATTTTGTGGCTCATATTAATCATGTCACCCAAATCTGTACATGCCAACAGTGATTAAGTGCACCAATCTGTTGGATACTTTTAAAGGCATTAATCATTCTTAACATTTAGCTGAAGGAGAAATGGACAGACTTTTTCGCCCTGAGGGCTGCATGTGACAATTGATAAGGGGTCTAGGATTATTATTTCATGGTGGATTAAGAGTGGGTTGATCCTGAGCCAGCAGTGGCCAAGTTTCCTATAAACACATCTGACACAAATACATAAACATAACCACTTGTGCTATTTACACATATATTCTATGCGTCTTCAGTCATGTAAGCTTCAAAATACATAGGCAAATGGGGGTCACTTCTCAATTCCTTCTCCATGGTAGTTTCATGTTTTTTTGAATGTGAGTACAGCTCTCTACCTGATCTAGGAAATTAATAAATCAGTCAACTGTTCAACTGAAGGTAGTTCAACTCTTTCAGAAAATAGTTGAAAATATGGCTCTCAGACAGAGTAGTGATGGTAAGCCCAGCTTATATGTCTATCCATTCCCCATTTTCAAGCCCTCATGCATAACAGTGTTAATACCTGAAAAAGTTTCTTCTTTCTTTCTTTCTTTCTTTCTTTCTTTCTTTCTTTCTTTCTTTCTTTCTTTCTTTCTTTCTTTCTTTCTTTCTTTCTTTCTTTCTTTCTTTCTTTCCTTCCTTCCTTCCTTCCTTCCTTCCTTCCTTCCTTCCTTCCTTCCTTTCTTTCTTTCTTTCCTGTACATGCAAATGCACCCAGGCCCATAAATTAATTCCCCAGATTGTGAACCTTTCCCCCTGTGCTCTGAGATTCCATCACACATACCCACTTGCCAAGCTGACAAGTGCTGTGAAGCTAAGGATTGTGCTTTTTCATTTTGTTCAGAACATGTAGTTTAAAAAAGGGAGACTAAATGGCACTGTGTCTGTCCTCACAGTTTAAATTGTATATTCCCTGCTTACCAACAATTGTTCAACAATATGGATAAGTATCAGTTATTTATTTATTTATTTATTTATTTATTTATTTATTTATTTATTTATTTATTTATTTATTTATTTATTTATTTATTTATTTATTTATTTATTTATTACATGTCTATTACATCTGTCTCTAAAGCTGGGGAGCAGAATCTGTAGCCCTCTCAAGTCTTGGATGAAGCTCCTGCAGTCCCTCCAAAAATAGCTACTGAATTATAGCTTTTAAAATGCTAAAAGGAAAAATTGTTCAATATCGGTGAACAAATCATACTGAGTATGCCTTAAAAATTTAAATTTTAATTTTAATTTAAATATGTATTTAAGTTTATTCCTATATCAACCATGTGAGGTGGCTGTCAAATTCAGTTGAGAGACAGATGGGCCCAGAGTTACACTGTCAGTACTATGGTCAAATGGGAGCTTCAGTCTGGGTCTCCTTGGTTTTACTCCAACATCTAAGCATTGTAATTTATGGTACTCATTTCTCAATTGTGATGGAAAGAAATCAACAGCTGTTTGACTGAGGGCATGCCTGGGTGGGTGACATGATGGTATTATCCCTCCCCTCTTTCAGTCACCTTCCCCATCTCATTTACTCATCCTTCATCTGTCATTGATCTTCCATGACCAAGGCTGGCTTCAGAAGCACCCAAGACCTGAAAAACTGATTTCACAGAGGGAAGAGTGCATTTCCATTTCAAATGCAACTGGCTGTCTTGCCAGTGTTAAATGAGTTTGTCCACATGCCAGTCATATCACCTCTACTGTAGACTGAGCCACAAATTCTAGGTCAATTTACTGCAATGTCCAGGCAATGATTCAGGATAGCATTTGCACAATCCCAGGAAACTTGGCCAGTTAGGACAATATTATTGCTTCAAAGTGACAGATGGAGACTGAGGCTCAAATATTTTCTTAAAGTCCAGCTATTGAATCTTAGCAGAAGTATCATTCTGGCTCAGAGCCTCCTTACATACCTTTTCCAATGAGTTCTTTCAACTGTTTGGAATGGAGGTTCTTGGCTTTTATAAGCACCACAAGCAGGCGATTTGCTGCAGGCAAATAGCTGATAGAAAGCAGAACTTCCCCATAGCCTGTGTCTGGTTCCTGCAGTTCATGGAGACAAATAGAAAAGGAATGTGCACTATATTTCCTACCTTTGTCTACACAAAGAAGATGACTGACAACCACAGAATAAGGTACTGTATGTGGAAAAGACAAAGATCCGTACAATAGAATATAAAAGGTGAACAACCCACCCCCCTTTGTTTTGCATCATGATGTAAATATCAACACATGTTTCATCTTTCTTCCAATGTGGGCTTCTGCATTTTTGTTTACATTAGTCTGTGGGGAGATTTAAACAGGGTATCTGCAGAACTAAAGTAAATGCGAAGATAACAGTGGTTGGAAAGCATGCTACAAAGCTACAAATTCTGGGTTATCTTTCAGTAGCATCTTCAAAGTGTTTTAAAGATATGAAAGTCACAGATGTGCAGCTACCTAGTAACTCTGGATGCATGTTTCCTAGCAACCAGGTGGAACAGGGAGCTTACCTTCTGAAGTTCATAGGATACTAGTGGTATTTCTCTAGTCTGCTCTTTTATTAGACAAAGTCGTGAAGTGTCATTCTGCAGTAGGGCTACAATTTTATTCAATCTACTGATTAAATTTTTGATATTAAAGTTTTTGAGAATATGAGAGTAGTACAGAGAGAAATATTGTCCTTTGCTTATTATGTTATTTATCTTTCTTTCTTTCTTTCTTTCTTTCTTTCTTTCTTTCTTTCTTTCTTTCTTTCTTTCTTTCTTTCTTTCTTTCTTTCTTTCTTTCTTTCTTTCTTTCTTTCTTTCTTTCTTTCTTTCTTTCCCACTAGCAATAAAACCATTTGTCTGTAATGCATCCAAGGAGCACATGTGCTCAGCAACTTAAAACGTATTTGTTGATTGGTCTCAAAGTCACAAATTAATTTAATAAGGACTCATCTAGTGAAAGGCAAAGGGTGGACAGAAGAGTAAATCTATAAGAGGGAAAAGGAAGAGAAAAGTGAATGGAAACTGGAAATATTCACTGTATTAATTGTACTAATTCTATATTAAAAATGGGGACATGTTACTAAAAATAAGTTCCCCAATATCATACACAATTAGCCTTAGGACTCTCACTCCCTATGTACTAGCGGCAATGTTATTTTCAGAGTACCAATTATGATGTAATCAAAATGCACAAGAGGAAAGTTTACTCTTACATATACTTTGGTTATAACGTATTTAAGAGTAAATCTGATGTCCTATAAGAGCAGAATCTAGTCACAACACACAAAATATCTTGCATAAAAAATAAAAACCAGCAAGTCAACAAGAAAAAGCTATTTAGAGCGGTATAAATATTTCAGGGTTTTTTTCTGGCTAGATGACACAGATTATTGCAAACAGAGTTTCCCCTCTCTGAGGGCAGATGCATTCTCCAAAATCTTTTCTGCCTGGAATAAATCCAATGCCATTTTTTTTAAAAACTAGTTTTCTCAGGGGAATTCAGAATAAGGATAAGGAACAATATATTCAGCTCAAGTTATATATGCCACTGAAACATCCATCTCCTCCTGACCTGTATAAATTCACCCAAAATGCAGTAAACCAGACTATAAACAGTGGAGTCTACTACTTTAATCCAAAAAGGATTGTTTCTTTTGTTTTGAAATATATTATTTTGCTTTAGTTTTATTTTGGGAATATGGTGACATTTTTTTCACCAAAAGAGTTTTTGTTTTCTCAAAAAGGCCTATTTGGCAGAGTTTTTTGAATGCTGAAAAATTAAACTAGGAAAAAGCCGTAAAACAGTTGATTGACCTCTGTCTACATGAAATTTCAATACTAACTGAAGTGGTTCTAAATTTTTAAATGATTGTTTAATTGGCTTTTTGCTCTGTTGTTCTTGGCCTTGGGATTGTGCAATGGTTGATTTTGACAGAACTGATACTTTAGCCTTGAGAAACTTTGGTTCTTGAGTTAAATCCCACAGTTTCATTGATATTCAGCTGATTTGTCCAATGGTCATATAGTCTGTGACTAGGGGAGGGAAAAATACTTTCCACTCTAATATAGACTTCAGCTTCAACTAATCGACCCTAACCCTAACCTAAGGAATGCACTGAATGTTTGCAAAGCTGAGCTAAGACATTTCACTGGCAGTGAAATATCTAAATATTCTTTACTTTGCATTCATTCTAATAGTGCTTCATCAGAAAAAAAATGTTTTGGACAATTGTATTACATGGGTTAAACCAGTGGTGGTGAACCTATGGCATGGATGCCAGAGGCGGCACTCAGAGCCCTCTCTGTGGGCACACGTGCCATTGCCCCAGCCTCGCCTCCTCTGTGACCCCCTCCTCTCCAGCAGCCCCCCTGAAGGAGAGTTGCCCCTGAGCGTAGCCCACACGGAGCAGCGCAGCCAAGGACATGGCAGCCAGGCAGCGTAGACAATTGATGGTGCAGGGCACGGGCAGAGGGCATGAGCACCATAGAGCTGCTGGGCTGCCTGGGTGATCTGCGGCGGGCCCTGGAGGCAGTGAGTAGCAGGCGGCACGGGGCAGGCGGCACTGGGGATGGGGGGTGGAGCAGGGGCGGGGCCAATTTTGGGGCACTTGGTTTCTAAACGTTTTGCCATCACTAGGTTAAACTATTTCTTATTATCCATTTCTAAAAGCCCTAAAATATTCTTACAGTATTGAAGCAAATGCTTTCATGATACATCCACTTCTAAACCATTTCCTCTAATTGGGGTCTGTCCTTAAAATGAATGATAAATTCATGCTGAAATCATACTACAAGGCTTTGATTCTAAGCTAGTTGGTAGAATGCAGGAGATACAGTTTTATATTTTTGTGATACCAGCAGGTACTGTGATGTGATAAATCTTTTTGGAAATCAATGAATTTCCTCAGCCCATTTTAAAATCTACAGGACAGAATTACAATGAAGAAGAATATGGTGTTTTTCAGTGAAACTGTTGAAATGACACAGAAAACTTTCAGCAGGCTATTCAATTCATCCAAAATCCATTCTGAATTATCAGTTTGAATCAACTTGACTAGTCAAATTGATTGAATATTAATCATATATTTGATTGGATGAAAGGTATGTTTCTGTATATAGAAAGGTCAAATCAGTTCAAAGGCACCCAATTCGATTGGATGCATCAATTTGATTCAGCAATTAGAAGGGGATTCAGCTGAATCACTTTCCAATCAAAGCTTGAAACTGGCATTATCATACAACCCTAGCTTTCAATAAACCTAATAAGCTCATCTTGGAAATACAGTACCAAAAACATTGCTTTTTCCTCCTGCTCTTTTCTGCCTAGCATCTAATTAATGATTCAGGACTTCTGTCTCGGTTCACAGTGTAATAGCTGCCATTCTGAGGTCCCCTGTGAGGTACTTTTTCTTTCCATATGGTTAAACTGCAAAATGAGGACACAATTCCAAGCCTATTAATCTGCTCTTTTCAGGTTTGGGACAGCATTTCTACTTTGTTACAACCTCGGAGGCTGTCTGAAAAAGGCCAATTAATGAGAAATATGACTGTCAGTTGCTAAATATAACTGGATAGTATATCTTCCACTTATTATGTACAAACAGTTTCTTGGCATTCTTGGTATTGTATGTTCCTGGAGACCATCTGTAAGTTGACTGACTGAGGCCATCTGTTTGAGAGGTGTAATTAGCCACCTGCTAGGGTTCTCCTGGGTTCAGAATTTTTTTTTTTGTTTGTAGAATAATGAGACTAGTAGCAACATCTCAACTTTAGCACCTCTAACCATCTTCTGAAAAGTTGTAGTGCTTGCCCTCTGGAATAAAACCCAGAATAAAACACCACCTTGTTGGTGTTCTGAACAGCTGTAAAGATCTAGTTGTTCTCGTTGGGCTAAGGTGATTGATTTTCCTTTTCTTGGGTATCAGCTAGTAATTGCATGTTTTGGAATTTGGTGGGTTCATCATATTTGCGTGGAGTAACTGGTTCAGGGAACAATCTCTCTCTCTCTCTCTCTCTCTCTCTCTCTCTCTCTCTCTCTCTCTCTCTCTCTCTCTCTCTCTCACACACACACACACACACACACACACACCCACACACACACACACACNCTCTCTCTCTCTCTCTCTCTCTCTCTCTCTCTCTCTCTCTCTCTCTCTCTCTCTCTCTCTCTCACACACACACACACACACACACACACACACACACACACACACACACACACACAAAAAGACTATATTACAATTACCCTAATTGTTTTTGTCCACTGATGGTCCTCTAGGATTGCCAGAAACTTCTCCCACAAAACTCACACCAAGATAGATTTTCCCAGTATTTCTACATTTGATTTTTCTTGCTTAGCTGCTGAACATTACATACCTCTTCACTGAACATTATTCTTTTGAATTTGACTTAACGCTTGCAAGGTAACTTTAAATCTTGATGCTGTTCTTTAATGAGGTGGTTCTTAACTAATGTGCCATGTGTCATAGGCTTGTTTCTAGTGTACCATGTTATTTTTTTTCTGAGGTTATTTTTGTTGTTGTTTGTATTAGGGATATTCTATATAATATGTATATTCAATACAATGCAGATATCTAAAAAATTCATAATGTCCCCTCAAACCATGAGTTATATATTTAAAAATAAGTATATAAGATTAAAAATGTTTGGTGTGCTACAGAGTTGCTACTATATTCAATATTGTGCACCCGATTAAAAAAAGGTTGAGAACCACTGCTTTAAATTATTAGCCAATTCCTTAGCTTAGTATCACAGTATCAGCCTTTCTATCCCTTCCATTTCATCTATATATCATTCATTAAAATATTGACTAGCACTGGGCCAAGAATGGAACCCAAGTAGGATCATATTCAATATTTCTGTATATGCTAATGGTGAAACATTCAAAGAATCTAATAACAATGTTGTCATTGGATAAAGTGAATTACGTCTCAGAAGTTTAGGAACACTGACATGCAGCATTCTACATCCCAACAGGAGAATATAACATGCAGTAATATATTATAAGTGAATTGATAGAATACCTTGTCAAGGACTTTCACTTTCTCAGACTGTATTGGTCCATATTGCTCCCCTACAGAATCCAGATTTGGTTTAATTTCACCAATAATGCTGTGTCTAGAGAACTTGTCACAGTTCCTCAAGGTGAGGGTCAGTGTCCCCTCTGGTAGCTCCTTCTCCTTGACCAGAAACAATAGAGCTTCTTCCCAAACAATGTGGGCTTGCTTCTTCTTCATCACAGTCTGGGCTTCTATAGTTCCAGAGTTGCTCACCAAAGTGCCTAAGATGTAGCAATCACTTCCACTGTTTTGGTCTCCTGCTGTGGTTCCATATAAAACTAATAAAGGCAGAGTGAAGGGAAAAATTCAGATAACATTTAGCATTTAAATCCTGTGCTAAAATATTTTCAAGAGACCACTATTGTTTGATTTGGTTTGATTTAGAGCAAAGTCAAGGCTTTGATGTAATGCAAAAAAAAGCAAATTTCTATCTCTGCAAGCTTAATTGGGCATGGGTCAAACTACGGGCTTCTGTCACCTGTCATCCTGATTATACATAGATTACGGATGACAGAATTGTATTCTGACTTAAATTAATGGCAGCAGAAAACATAGCTGTTTTCCTTTCATTGTAATTAATGCCATTCATATCTTGGTTTTATGGTGATTTAGAAATATCTAAAGAGAAAGAAAATGAGAGAGTAACAATGTAATCTGGTGAACTCTGTTATGTTTCATTTTTGAATTAATATCATAGATGATATATGCCCACATACATAGTAGTCTTGAACCTGTTAATTGTCACAGTGGGGAGGAGTCATCCATGCTGAGGAGAAAGGGAGGTTTCCAAGCTGAGCCATGCTGGCTCAGGAATTCTGGGAGTTGAAGTCCACGAGTCATAAAAGAGCCAAGGTTGCCTACCCCTGGCCTAGAGGCCCACAGAAATACCTGTGTTTTTTTTTTGTTTTTGTTTTTGTAATCAAGAGTGACCAACATTCTTCTGCATTACCCTCTATTATTTCCTAATTCAGATATCATACAAAACCAGTAAAGCTTTTCAAAAGTCAGCTGTATGAGAGGAGAAGGGCAAAGAACTAATAGATGGAGATATGGCTTATTACTAGGGTAAATTAAACTATAATTTATTGGATAAGGATAATTATGCCTTCATTGGACCTTTATGTGACCTAGTCAATTACTTACTCTCTTCTGTTATGTTTGCCATATGCAAAAATAATTTAATTTTGTGTTTAGAATAAAGTAAAATGATGAGAAATGTGAGACATTAAAATTATGTATTTCATTGCTACCCCTAGCTATGAGGATCTAAATCATTGCTTGGAAAGTAAATTATATGGATATTTTTATAGCCTTTAATATGTTTTTTCTTTGCTTTCTTATCTTTATACCTTTAAATCCAGCCCTGAATCCTGGTGACTGTGTGGATAAGTCCCTACAGTTTTCTAGGCAACATTTTTCAGAAGTGGTTTGCCTCATCCGTCTTCCTGAGAATGAGAAAGAAGACTGGCCCAAGGTCACCCAGCTGATTGTGTACCTGAGGCCAGACTTGAAATCACAATTGTCCAGTTTCTAATTGATGCCTTTAACCACTACACCAGATTGACTCCCTCTATAAATGTCTTTTCTTAAAGTCTTAAAAGCAAGACAACAGAATATAAACTGACAGCAAGCAGCACTCTTTACTAGCACTGATGATGTTACCTAGTTAGACATTACTTTGTAGGTGTTCTTTTGTTCGTTCGAGTCTCTCGTGGTTCCTGGGAAGAATTTCAGAATAAACAAACCTTATTAGGATACTAATAAGACTACAACAATTCTTCTGGACCGAAAAGTGAGTCCTACAACTGTTCTCTCTTACTATGGAGAACAAAGTAGTGTAATCGGTAGTAAATAAAAATAAAAAATGCAATTATTGAGTGCATTGTAATTTCTTTGATTGTTAGCTGCCTAGAAACATTAAGAATCAGGTGACGTACACATTTAATAAATTATAATTATCAGATATTTTCAATCACCAACTTGCAAAACTGGAGGTCTTTACCTTCTAGGAAAGCAACGGACAGAGCCTCTTTCTGTCGGTTGTAGCCCAGACAATAATGAAGTTCTGGGACTTGATTGAAGGCTGCAGTGTTTTCGGGACTCAGGCGCTCAGTGACACAAACATCCTTCACCCCACCTGAAACTCAAAAGAATGTTAATTAGAAACTGTGCCCTATTCCAGATAAGATGACTATTGGTCAATGTTGTATTTTACCACTTGAAACCATGATATAAAATGAATGGAAACTGTACTTCATGGAAATAGAATCAAGACAAAGAATCAAGGTCAGAGCTAAATTTGATTGGATCAAAATTAAACAAATTAGAGTTAATATGAAAAAATGTCCCTAGGTGTAGTAATTTTCCTCTTTTATGACATCAAAATGCACTTTTGACCATTTTTGGAGCCATATCAAAAGATTTTGTTGAAGAAAACTGCAAAAGCCCTACAGTCTCACTTCTCCCTCTTCAATATAAAATTACCTAACCTATTTGTAACTCAAAGTTTTATGATACTTTGAAAATTTGGACATTTGTGGTAGCATAAATGTTGATGAATGTCTTAACAATTGCTGTGTAAATGGCCACTTTCAAGAAAGTAATTGTTTCTGTAAATAAGTGCTACAATTAATTTTCTTCTGATTTCATTCTTTATACTCTGCAACCTCAAATTTGGATTTCTATATATACATAGTCACATACGAATCATAGGAATTTTATCATGAAATCAAAGATGATGGTATACTAGGGAGCCAAGAATATAGGTATTGGTTGAAGTAGTGCTGTGGGTTTCTTGGACATATCCTTGGCCTGATGGCAAATAGGACAGGTGGAGAGTAGACCTTGGTCTTTCTACAAGGCCACCAGAAATCCCAGGTGACCAGCTTAAGTCCCCTACCCATGGGCATTTTGTGAACTAGGCATAATATTTACTTTTGAAATTCAATCATGTGCACATGAAACTAGTTTCACTGTTATAGATGTATATTCTGGACATTAAACAAGGAGGTTATGGATTGGCCTATGCTTGCCCAGAATTTCAGGGGTTGGCCCTGCATATATTGGTCATTTCTCTATAAGTTTTGAAAGCATTCCATCAAAGAGTAGGTGGAAAGAGCCATGGAGATGAACTTGAGGAAACTAAGCAGAAGCAGTTGTTATATATAGGAAAGTATTCTTTAAAGCCAAAGAACAGCAAAAATAGGAAAAGAAACTCAGACTGACTTCTCCCTAATTCAGAATACGATAAGAGGGAGGGAAGAACTCATGCAGCCTTTCACCAGCCTTTGTTACTATAATCTATAACTATAATCTGTATTAATAAAATGTAGTTCCCTAAAGAACTCAATTTCCAGCTCAGAAAGAACATACAGTTGAATCCTTGGAATTGTTGTTCCCAGAATCAGGTATATAATAGTCATAAGGGCAATGTGGAAGAAGGAGATCAGTTTTCTTTTCATCAAATACACCCTGGAATGGCAATTACTTAACCAGGAACTGATCCAGCTTATTGTTGGTTAAGAACAATGCTTGGGTGACCTGCAGAATTTCTAGATCTTCCCGACACTGATCTTAAAAAGATGAGTTTGTCTTTGGATCAAGTAATTAGCCTATCATGAGCCTGGAACCATGAAAAACCCAGAACTAATTGAAACTGGATAGCCAGAGTAACCACAGGGACTTGATCTGTTCTTGATGTTGTTTATACTTGCAGGATCAAAAGCTCAGTAATTTTATTCAAATATCCAATGTAGTTGAGTGCTCCAAGGATGAAGAAAGATATTCTTGATGCTGTATTTGAATCACAGTAAAGATTTGGAACAAGCCAAGGTAAAAAAATGCAGTCAGATTCAGAATTGCAGAGAAAGGAGTTGGATGCCAACATTGCTTCCAATAGCTGTGGAACAGAAGTGCCTGAGTTTAATTACTTTTCCAGCTGGATGTGTTCATCTGCTATGCCATTTCAACAGCTGGTGCTAGTAATAAGGCTGTGAGCTATATCAGGGCTTGGTGTCTTCCTTCTGGGACAGTCTGCTGGGCCATTTGACAATCTGCTGGACCACATCTTTTAGAAACTGAGCCGGGTCCCAGCAGTCCTAGAACCAGGAAGAGAAAGTCCCTTCAGCATCCTCCATACTCTGATCAGTCAATCTCTTCCCATATGCAGAGACCAAATCTACCTCATGAGAATGACAATATCTAGAAGGCACCATTTATGTCTGTTTTCTGCCCATAACTTTAGGGTAATCTTTCTGTTATTGGTACAAAGATTCGTTTCTTGATTCAGCCCAAGATTGTTTTACTTACATGTTTATCACAAGACAGCTTGTCATATATTCTTACAAAATAGCTACAACAAGGAGTTTGCTATCTGCAACATGGTTGCCATGGTAGACCTAAGCAACTACAAAACATAGGAGAGTGGGTGACACTGTTCTTCATATCCTTCTTCATTTCCCAGAAGTTCTTTGTGGTTATCCTTGATATTAGAAAGGGAGACAGAAAGACATTCCAAGCAAAACACTGGGTTAAAGCCATTGGCTTTTGATATTTTCCAGAAAGATGTTTTGGCCATGTGTTGATTTCAGAAGTTTTCTTAAAGAATGTATAATATGTCTATCTGTCTGTCTGTCTATGAAAAGGAATAGAGCCAGGACATCTCCCAAAATCACTGAACGGCTCATTGCTGGAGAGAAAATCTGAGAAGCCAGAGAAAATGATCCATTTGAAACTCTAAAATTAAAACTGGACAACCCCTTTAAGATGTCAGAATCCTCTTCCACTTCATTCCTAGGAATATTTCCAGTTTGCCATCTGACATGAATCTTTTAAGGTTTTTCTTTCTTGTCTTTCTTTATTCACAACCATTGTAGTGCATGCATCACTATTCTTTAAAAGGATGAATTGTAATAGCAAGTTAAATTGTTTGAAGGAAATAAACACATCAGTTTAATTTCTGTGTGAAACATTCAGAAAAACAGAACTGGATTTTTATTTATTGTCATTAAAACCAGCTTAATAATATATATTAAGACATTCACAATGCATATTGAGCTGTCGACATCTGTTGTGCATTCAAGGGTTTTTCTACATAAGCCTTTCCCATTGTGCTCTCCGATTGCATTGAATTATAAGTTAAGTGCATCTGCTCTCTGGAAAAATCTGCATCCTAATATCTGTAAGGTGTCTATACTGTTATAGCTTTCAGATGCTTGTTGAATCTCTTCACCCGAGCCTAGCTTTTGAACAAATGGTTCAGTTTTATTTTTCTTATCCTATAACATTTGGAATTATTTATTTTTAAAAATTATTATAACAATCTTTTTCATGTACGGTTGTTATACTTTAATTTAAATCACTTTGAAATGCAGTTGCGTAAGAAATCATTTTAAAATAACATAAATAAATTAAATTATCTTCAGTCACTATGGCTATGGATCACACTATCTGAGAATGATGTAGACTACAAAATGGGAAGCTGATCTATTAATATCCAAATGAAATCTCCTAGCTTGCCCGAAATAATTAATGTTTCTTTTATTCTTTCATCAGAGAGCTCTCTATCCACAAGAAATGGAAAATAATTAAGTGCAAATGATTTTTCCATTCAAAATACATTTCTTTATATGCTTCTAGAAGTTTTATCATGCCTGCAAGCAAATCCCCTAGAAAATTGAATATCCACTACCATCCTAAGAATAAAATGAGTTTTTTAAAATGATGCTATGAAAAAGAGAAAACCAATAAGGGTGTTGAACAATAGGATGAAATTTGCCAGATGTGAACAATTACATAGATAATTTGCTCAAAGCTGAGATAATGTAGATTAAGATTGTTTAAAGCCTTGGTGCATTTCACCTTTGATATGGTACATTATTGTGCAATGTAAGCCTAACCCTTAATTGTATACTTTTGCTATGCTGGTCATGTGCTCTGGGACTCATAACTAGAAATAAAATCCATTATGGTTTCTCATTTAAAGAAGAAGCAATCATAAGCAATTTAACAAAGGCCCTACCATTTTGGGGGAGAAGAAATAGCTCTTCATTGACTTGTATGGTCATTCTTTTCTTATCCAGGGCTTCAGGTTTTCCCTTGCTTGGTTCTTCTACTGTCTTCAAATTGTAATCTACATAGTTAACAATTTCTGAGGTGGTGACGACAGGCTTTGGGCCATAGATGTGAGGAAAGCCGAGGATTGTCCGGGGTTGTACTGGTTCTGCTGTCTTCTCAACATTAAACTGAAACAAAAAGACCCCGGATTTTATTTTTATTGCATTCATTTAAAATTTATTGTAGCAAAATATGCTCCTTTGACTGTGAACTTACATGAGAGGAATGACACATTACTACACATCATATTTTGGAAATCAAGGAATTTTCTTCCTAAAGAAACACGCTAGAATCTATTTTTAATTAGTCATTCTAGTCCCTACTCCTAATTCTCTTGTAATTCTTTCCTTCTCCTTTTCTATATACCATGTGGATTAGAAATCATTTAAGAAGAAAATGCAATTGCTTCCATATTTTGTGGTACATACATGAAGGACCCTAGAGTAAATAACAGGAAAGGGTTGCAGTAATTTCCCTCCCAGCCCCAACAATCATGCTTTATATATAAACCTTCAATTCCTAATAGATATGTCAAGGTTTCCAGAAATAAATGCAGATTTATTCACATTGCATATATTTATGTTCTGAAAATATTTTCCTGTGTGTGTGCACAGGAATGAATGGGAATAAGTGGGAATGAATGAATGGGAAAAATGGGAAGCCTTGATAAATTTAAGAGGTATTTTCTTCCCTCTCAAATGTTTCTAAATAAATTCCAAAATGCTGAGGATTGCTCTTTTCTTGTGAAAAAGCTGAGCCTACTGACCACACTCCAGCAGCCAAAGCAGAGAGAATGAAAGCATATGCTGAAGTGTAATTAGTGTTTTTCATTCTTTTTTTTTAATTTTTGTCTTGTTATTAATGCATGTAGACCGCATCCCAAAGGAAACATTCAGGGCAGCCAAGTCCTTTCCTTGCCAGTCAGCTTGTCTGTGGGGAAGCTCTCTGATTCCTAATGCACTGTATTGTAGCATCTTTTGCAGCCATGATCAGCTCCAGATCCTAAACATAGCCAAGCATAGCCAAGAATAAAGATGATGGGAGATGTAGCCAAATAGCTATGAAAGGCTGGATAGTGTTGTGTTCAAAGCAGTATTTTAGTTTATTCCTTGTATGCTATTTGCAAGACCACAAATTAAGAACCTGCCTAAATTAAGTTAAATAATTATTATTTAAGGACATAATAATGGCTATTTACTTCATTAGAAAAACCTAACTAGGAATTATATAGACATAAACCTTCTGTTCTTTTTTCTTTTCTTTTGCTTTTCGTTCTATGCTTCCATCCTATAAGGTCCTACATTGCACTTAAAGCACATATAATTTGCTTACACTGGCTCTTTTATTTGAGCTTTATAGCAGATAGATAGATAGATAGATAGATAGATAGATAGATAGATAGATAGATAGATAGATAGATAGATAGATAGATAGATAGATAGATAGATAGATAGATAGATAGATAGATAGATAGATAGATAGATAGATAGATAGATAGATTGCTGAGACTCCCATTGGTAAATGGGGAGCTAGAAATAAATGGTAATAGTCCTAGTATTATTGCCCATGTTTTAAAACAGAGCATAAGATTGACAGATATTTTAAAAGTAGCATGTTCTTCAGTTCTTAGGATAAAAAAGCCAAAGGCAAGAATGCCTTATAATAAATATGAGAGGCCATAATACAATTAATCCCATGAACAAACAGACTGTCTATCTATCTATTATCTGTCTAAAACTGAGTAGTTAACTTTAAAGGGGTTGTTGTTAAATTATCTCTCTATATACAGTATAGGTAGCATGGATGCCTATATATGAAATTATTTAATTTCCCCTTTCTTTGGAGGACAGAGTTCTCCTTGGAGGGAAAAATCAGAAATTCTGGTTCCTCATTCTTGTCTGTCTTCCAGCCTCTGCAAGCCAGGATTTTTCCAGAATCTTCCAGAATTTCCAAAGAGGACTAGAAAGAATTTTTAGGGTGGTGGGATAGATCCAAAGAATTGTACTGTAATCACAGTCACTTCTTACTCCCCATTTGGTATTAAGCAATCACACCTCCCATTATAGGTAATAAAATGGTAAACTCTTTTGGAAAAAAAAAATAGCTCATGTAGGTAGCATGAAATTGACCAGACCAGAGCATCTTATCTCAGAGTACAGTACACTGACAGCTGCTCAGAATTGTCCTGTCCATAAAATACCATTTGAACAAGGTTTTGCATATGAACAAAACTTCACTACTGATATGTGTTTCCTTACTAAATGCCCAAATGGATATTTTAGGCCATCGCAAAGCTTATGCATATACAATTATGGAGTATTTTTTCTTACTTAAGTAACAGTGGATTTATAAATATGAGCCACTTTATTGAAGCCATCACGCCAAAGCCAGACACTCTAGTGGCACTCTGTCATCATGTAACAAGAGACCGTCCTTTGGGGAGCCATATACAGCTACAGCGGGAAAGGATCGACCGCATTGCCAGCTACATCTGTTCCTGTTTATTGTGTATATGACCTATTCTGTCAGTCATGAAAAAGTGATCCCCACTCCCTTTTGACAGACAGGTTTTGTGCTAAATAAAATTATCTGAAATAAAAGTTTGAATAAGAACAATCTGTAAAATACTGAGGCCTTAAATAACACTTTGGATATTTTCTTTCCTTTTGGCATGAGTAAAATTGGCAATAAATCACTGCTAGGCTGAACAAACACCAGCTGTTGGCTTAGAGTAGAAGAAAGGATTCTGCTGTAAGGCAGACCCATCACAAATTAAAAATATGCAAATAAAAATATACTTAGGTTTTAGATCTAGTTTGACTGCATTTATTAACTAGATGATAATTAACTGCTAGTTTATTGACTGCATCCCAAACTTGATTGCTTCCATTTGGGTTTAGGATTATACAAGTTTAAGACCAATACATTTGGAAAGCATCAGTTTGAGAAAGATTTGAGGCACTTCAAATGCAGACAGGCAGTAATAATGCATGGAAATATTTGTGGCTCATACTACTGTAAGCCATGCTTACTGAAGATTTAGTAAACCACACTTAACTGTGGTTTACAAAGTACAAAGATGGGTTCACATGACAAGCCAAACCCAATTCAAGCAAACCAAATCATGGCATGTTTAGGTCCCTCCAGAATGTCACAGTTATTAATTCAAACATGAACCTATGTGCTTGACATAATGATAATTTTTAAAGGGATGAAAACCTACTGCAATTATATGTGCAAAGAAACTGTTATAAATGGATACAAGAGACATGAAAATACACCTCCCACACAAACAAACCAAATTAAATTTCAGGATTGAAAGGAAGAGGCTTCTCTTCTAAAATACACATTTGGGAAGGAATCATTTTCCTGGGATTTTTTTAAAAAAATTGAAGCAATAATCAGATTTAGGCAGGCAGCCTGCTCCTTTAATCATGTAATTGTGACACCAATTCACACTAGGTATGATAACTTGCTCACTGACTGTATTGGCGGATAGTGAATATGTCTAGAGAAACAGACACTACATTAGATTAGCATCCGAGGGTTAGATTTCCTATCATTCCATTACAACAGAAACCCAACAGAAGATGGATTCTGAATCGACAGATTAGTTGACTATAACACAAGTAACTTCTCTTGCCCCACATTTCAATGATGTGATCAATCCTTGTCTTGATTTATTGGGCATTAAGTATCTCAAAAGCTATTTTGTTTAAAGCTAAAATCACAAGGCTTTCA